CTCACCGTAAACCTTTTTGCTGAAATCCTGCTTGGACCAGTTCTCCATGCAGAACTTGAGGCCGTAGGTCTCGACGGCCTCCTCAAGGCCCGGCAGGTACACCGGCTGCGTCTGCTGCACCCAGAGCAGCGGCGCGAACAGCAGCGTCGACACCACCCACAGGGCCACGATCACCTGGACGACAGACACACAGCGTTCGTTGAACAAGCCGCATACAGGCGGACAACGAGGTCACAACAACGGCACACTTGAAGGTCCGGGGAGATGGTACGAGCGTGAGCCAGTGCTGTCTCTGCAAGTGGACGGCGAGTCCAGCTCCGCCGCGCCTCCCCCCCCCCTCCCCCGGGGACAAATTGGTTTTGTTGGCCGGTCCGAGCGATGCCTAAGGGTGCGGGTGGGGCGGGTACGACCGGGTGTGGCGGGGCTGGCGGGGCGTGAGGCGGGGCGTGGTGGGGCGTAGAGGGGCAGGGCAGCGTGGCAGCGTCAGGAGGCAGCCATGGCAGACGGCCACCAGAGCGCGGGTACACCCCATCCAGAAAGCCCACCTACCCTTATATTCCATACCGCAAAAGTTTCCCAAGGTCTGCTTTGTTCAGTACATTATCATCGCAATGACCTACATTCATTCTGTGAGACAACCGACTTCCCAAAACTGGCAAAGTGTCATCGAAAGACGGAAGATACCGCAGTGGAGCGGCGCGGCGGCGAAGTCGCACACTGATAGCGGATTTGCGATAGTGTTCTCACAAAATCTCTGCGCCCTAATTATTTGCAGATCTTTGAGATTCCTAACCATCGCTACCAGGCTGCGATTTCAAACAAAATGCAGCACATTCAATATGTAGAAAATTACTATGACTTAAAAAAATTGAAATGGGTTTCACCATTTGAAGTTTATTACATTTTATTTACAATAACGCGATACCTCATCATGGAAGCCATGAATAATGGGAATATAGCAAACCATTAGTTATTCCTAGCTTCTTAAGCTCAGTATCGCAAGGCGCAGTGCGGCAGAGCGCCGCGCAGAGCCAGGCAGAGCCGGGCAGAGCCCCTGGTGGGTGGGTAGGCACCCGGGCGCGGAGCCGGGCAGCCGAGTGCGGCGGGCTGGCCTACCCCGCCACCGTCGGGCGCTCCAGCGAGACGGCGGCGGCGCGGGCAAACATGGGCAGAGATGGGAGTGCTGGGGGGAAGGGGATTAGAACAAGGCGAGGGGAGGGGAAGGTGGAGGGCAGGGAAGGAGAGAGTGGGGGGGGGAGGGGATGCGGCCAGCGGAGCGGCATTTCATACTCTGGCCCGCTCATTATGCAGGATTAACTTCCTGCTGTGCGGAGGCAGAATGAGCAGTGCCAACGCAGTTCCACGCAGCCGTACGCATAGAGCCAGGTGGCCCGGCCTAGCCTCGCCCCGCCTCGGCCCGCCCCGCCCGGCAGTCGCACTGCTTGCCCTCATTGCGGCACCGAGTCGCCCGTCTCACTCACACCCTGGGGGGGACTCGGGGGCGCTGAGGTGGTTACACAAATCCGCCGCGAGGCTAGGCCCGCCGTGTCACTGACAGTGGTGTAGGTGGAGGTGAGGCGAGACGCGGTGAGGTGAAGGTGAGTTGAGGTGAGGTGAGACGAGACGAGACGAGACCCCCCGCGATTCCCGAATGCTGAGGCTGGCCAGCTGCTTGTCTTGCTGCCTTGTATAAATAACACGGGCGCGCAGTCCAAATACTCTAAATTGAAGTTTTCGGGAAACGCTTTCATACTGACGGCCTGGCGTCAGCTGGCATCTTGTTACTCTGACCTTCAAGTTGATTTAGCGAGCGGAATGAAAAATCCCACTCCTTTTCCCTCTTCAGTAAAAGAGCGTGGGGCTTGGCTTCCATCCCCAGATTAGTAGAAGAAAATGTATTACGAGTTTCGGCTCCACACTTTATTGGGCGCACCAACTCCAAGTTTGCATTGTCGTGCACGTGCACCAACCTGCTCTAGTATACTAGACTATTTCGAGCGCGAGCAAGTGGCCCGTAACGGTCCAGACCCGGTAGCAAATTAATTGAGTTCACCGTAACAATTCGCCGTGGTAATTTTAAACAGTGCACGCACTCTAGCGCTCTGGCAACATAACCAAATGACTTAAGTGAATCGTGAAGCCTATTGACCAAGGAGCGAGCCAAGGAGGCACAGATCGATCTATGCTAGTCCGCAAATGTTTTTTGCCTCCACCTGTCAGAACTAGTTTTGAAGGGGCAGACACACTAGTCATCACGTCAAGGCCACCAGCACCTCCTTCACATGAAAATTGATCAATATACACATTATATGACGCGCTTATGAAGCATATGGGATTTCCCAGTCCAGATGTTGGCAGTCTGGCTTTCGCATAAGCGACCGAGGCGTCGGCACGGCAGTTGGCCCCGGTTGAGTGTCGCCTTAAGGGTCCCGGTTCTTCTCATTCCGACGGCAGCGCTGCGAGCGGAGCTACGCGACGAGTAAAACGATAGTCCCTCAATAACGGGACGGAGATGGGGGCGGAGGGGGGGGGGGGACATCTTCCGTGGAGGGTCTCGAGACATTTAATCCCACGCGGGGGGTCCTGGCGCCCCCCCTTTCCCCCTCGATCCCCATTCCCCCTCTCCCCTGGAGCAAGCAGCCCTCCCTACTTCCAGGGGTCTTCCGAGTCTTTTAATTCGGTTAATTCAGCCCACGCGCGCCCCTTCTCCTCCCCCCTTTCCGACACACACACACACACACACACACACACACCGGAAGTAAGTACCCCTGCGTCCGTTTCCGGCGAACCCGCAGGGGTCCGAGCCGTCTCACCAGCTCAGCCAATAAAACAACAACATGCACGCCACGCCGCGGCAGCGGGAGTTTCAATTTCCGGTCCCATCTCCTCTCCCGGCACCTGGCGCGAATCCAAAGGCCCGCGGGCTCAGCCACACACGCGCCGCACACAACACACTCACGAAGATGGTCGACTTCCGGTTGAACACCTTCCTGAACGCCATCGGGTGACGGATGGCCAGGTAGCGGTCGATGCTCATGGCCGTGATGGTGAACACGGATGCGGACACGGACACGCCTGTAACAGACAGAATCACGCATTCTGTAAACTTGTTTGAACAAATATATAGAGGATGAACGTCACCTTTTCAAAAAAAAGAAAAAAAAATGTGGAAAGAGATCGATAGTCAGAGAAACAGGCTCTGTTAATTAATTTTGAATAATTGGATACACGCACGTTTTTTTGATACACTATAGTGTAGGATATATATCCGGTGCAGGTGCCATTGTGCCTTACGTACTAGGTTAATCCATCACACTGGTCTGATCGATCGGCTGATGGGATACGATTGATAAGATACACTCAGTACACTGCATTCAACGTTGTTTTACTTTAAAAAAAAAAAGAAATATGAGAAATTTTCCGAAATAGTTGGAAAAGAGTCGTTCCGATCCGAAAGCAGGGCGGGTGGCAGCAGAAGGTAGTAAACTGGTTCAGCAAGGAAACATATCGCAGCAAACGTGACTCAAAGTTGTTCCTAAAGCCGCAGGGCAGTTGCAGCAGCCTGTAGCAAAGAGCAGCTGAGAGAAGGCGGGGGATGGGGAGGGCGTGACTCGCATCGAGAGGGAGAGAGAGGAGTGAGCGGCAGCAGTGGTTTCTGATAAAGTTGGCGCTGAAGTAAAAATATGCAGCAGACGTGTCGTCTGCAAGCAAAGACAAAACTTCTTGGTTCTACTTGATTGGGTTAGGGGAGGGCAGCAAGCACAACTGGGTCTTGCCCTCGCTCCCGGCGGCAGCGTGGAAACCGACAGCCTACCCGTAGTAGTTCTTCCAAAGTACCCACTTAAGCACTCCATTCCCCGCTAACTGCGGTTGAGCGAGAGCCAAGCGTGCCAAAACGACTGCGTTGGCGTTGGGCGTCTGCTGAAGCGACGGAGCGCTTTCTCTGCTCTATCTGACGTAGGTGGGAAAAGGATGGATCTGATCGTTCAGAAACATGCGCCTCGTCAGTACTTTTCATTACTAACTCGCCAATCGTCGCAAAAAAACCTTGAAAATTCCCCCTAAAAAACTCATTAAAACCTTTCAACATACTAGTAAAAATACTCGTATGCGTTCATCATTTCAGGGGGTGGGGTTACCCCTTGGACTGCTATCTGATGAGTCTTCAGTCATCTAGCGAAAGCTTCCCCTTCTAGGCAATATGGCAGTGTTTTGCTTCACATCAATGGACTTCGCCTGAAGAGTAGTTGTCTCCTCTTAATATTTCCCAGAGCTGCCACTGCTCAGCCC